TAAAAATATTTTCTTCAATATCAATTTATATTGAGGTTATTTTTTTACTATGTAGATAAGATAGATTTCACATTTTATTCAATTCGGCAATGCCTAATGGAAACTATGTTGATACAAACGCGAAATTTATTAACAAATCTAGTAACAAACTTTTTTCTATTGATTATTATATTTTTATTGTACTACTATTAATTGTACTACTACGAGATACTATAATTTGTATAATAACGTTTATTTAAAATTTGACAACATACGTTCAAAATGCCTTCCGCCTAATTTTACATAAAGACGTGCCCGTCGATTTATTAAATTGGTCTCAGCATTTTTAATCATTTCGGGAGTAATGGCAACAGCTTCTACAATCCTCCCTTTTAATTCTTTCTGATCGTTTATCAGATTGCGATATTTTCTCCATTAATCGTGGTAATTCCAGCATTAAAAAATTGTAATAAACATCGCTATTTAATTACTCTGCCTGGCAACTCGAACGGTCCAATCTAAACTTTATTACAAATGTGTAATTACTTAATGTGTTTTTATTAATTTTTTTGTTTAACAATAATGGAACAATAACAAAGTCTAACATTAATGCAAAATTTTCAAATATCTAAAAACTTTTTGTAAAAATAAACCATATCGAAAATATAATATTCATACTTGAAAGGATCAATAAGGAAGAGAAATGTCTTACTATTTTCTTGTTGAATGTATAATATATCAGTCCATAAATTAATTGTAAATCTCTTGACATCGTGACGTAAGGATTATCGTTCGCTCATACATGATAGTAATAAATATTAAATATTCCGTTTCTAGTAAAGAGGGATTTTTCGGTGAACATTATTTTATGTACAAATCCAGGTTCAAATTCTTGTTGCTCCAAAAGTCATGTGTAGAAATTTACATGTTGAACGTGGTCTTGCGGCCATAAATTTTGGAATTTTGTGTAATGATACGCGTGCATCGTATTATTTTTTTAAATTTGTTGAACTGTACTTTTAAATAAGTTAAGGGTATGGCTTATCCTCCCTGCGAATACCTTGCATGGATCTTTATTGAAACATCCGAGTACAGCTTCTTCATTCTCGTTTGAATAAGCTTGAATAAGTTTGAATAATTTTTCATGTTTTTCATCAAATTTTCTCGATTTAACATTAATGACCTTGTTTGTCTACATTATTTACTATATTATACATTTTTACATTTTTTTACATATTTTAAAACAACTGAACACAAACAAATGCAAAAAATTGACAGATAGTTTGGTAACATGGAGTACTTAAACGAAGAATACTGCGATATGTTTCTAATTTACGGCGAATATGGTCAAAATTCCGAAATGGCTGCACGGGAATATGCCAGGCGTTTTCCGCATCGCAGAGCACCCTATCCTAGAGTATTTACGCGCTTAATAAATCGTGTAAGACAAACAGGATCAGTAATGCCAAATCGACAAGATGACGGTGCAGGACGATATTATGAAGCTTATTCTGTCGAAAATGAAGAAGCTGTACTCGCTTGTTTTAATGAAGATCCGTGTACAAGTATTCGTATGATAAGCCGTACTCTTAATTTATCGAAAACTACAGTTCATCGAATATTAAAAAATAATATTGTTACGCCCGTGCTCAGATGCGACGCCCTGGGAGTGCGCGCCAGCCGCGGGCTGAAGTCGCGGCGGTTTAAAAGATCGGTCGCGAAGGACCGATGCGCGGTTGTTGATTATTGATTTTGTGATTCTGTCTCTGGGCTCTTGGAGAGTACAGACGTGTGTTCTTTACTAAATAAAGTTCCCTTGTTGATTTCCAATCTTTATTGATTTCTTCGCGGCCTGGTGGCGTGCACCGCGAGCGGAAGTCGAGCCGACGAGTGCACGAGTGCGCGAGGTGTTGTGTGGACGGCGGAGCCGGACGCAACATTTTGGGGGCTCGTCCGGGATCGGACGAGTGAAGACGAGCAACGGCTGCCCCGAGGAGGAAAAGAGCTCGAGCGCGTTCTCCCCCAGCGGACGCTGCGGAGCCCGTTATGGAGGCGCAATTCCTACAAGGACTGCTGCAGGAGATACGCGGGATGCGCGAAAATCAGGCGCGAAGGGAGGAAGAACTTCGAGCGACGCTTCGCCAACGGGATGAGGAGCTACAGCTTTTACGGACCTCCCAGATAAGTCTTTCCAATAACAGAGCCGCCGGGGATTTCGAAACGCGAAGTGCAAACGCGGACGCGTTTAGTAACAGTTATCCGCGATCGGAGTTCGGGTTTAAAATAAAGCCCGACACATTCGACGGTACCACTTCGTTGCGCGAGTTCTTTTCACATTTCGAACTAATCGCGCGTGCGAACTGTTGGGCAGATGCCACAAAGACCGTGGTACTCGCTTCGTGCTTACGAGGGAAGGCGCGTTCGGTTTTAGAGACGGTTGAGGATTTGACTAATATTGAGTTTTCGGAGCTTAGGTCTAAGCTCGAGTTATGTTTCGGAGAGGTATATTTATTCCAAAATTGCTATACGCAATTTATTAATCAAAAACAGAGATTCGGTGAAGATTTGGCCGCGTACGGTACAGAGTTAGAGAGGCTTTCGCGCCTCGCTTACGCGGAGTGTCCCCACGACGTTCGCAATAAAATTGCTTGTGCACAATTTGTTTCGGGTGTCTATGATGGTTTTACAAGGCGAACCCTTCAATTGGAAGGAATTTCGTCTTTGAATTTGGCCGTCGAAAGAGCGAAAGTGGTTAAAATAATTCAAGGGGGAAGTTTCGAAAGGGGAAAAGGGAATTTTTATGGGAGCGGTGTTATTAAAGAAAGGAAAGCTACAGAGGAAGGGTTGGAGAACGGGAGCGGCAAAAAGTCCTCAATGAAAGAAAAGGAAGGGAACGCTCGAGGGGAAGGTTGGCGCGAGAAGAAATCTGCTTACGGATGCGAGTGTTGGTCCTGCGGGAAAGTCGGGCATTTCCGCTCGGAGTATCCTGTCGCAAAGGAAAACGAGGACTAGTTGACCACAATGGGGGGAGGTCCGGGAAATTCCCCAAGAATGGTTTAATGTTAGGGACCGGAGCCCGTGTAAATATAGACACCCTGTATTTTTGTTCAAAAAGTTTTCTGCGTGGTTTTTCTGTTTTAGGTTTAGTAAAATTCCATGTGATGTTGAGGTCTCTAAGGAGGAACTCCTAGTGGAGGATCGCTCTAAAAGAAGACGTTCTTTAAGAATTAAGAAGATTGCCCTGCCCACGGTTTTTAGAATCGGGGTTTTCCCGTGCGGCCTTTGGGCGAATGCCGGGGCAGGGACAGGGAGAGCCCGCGTGGGCAAAGGGTCCCTGTGTAGTTTCCCCTCCCCTGTCCGAAGAGGGAAGAGTCAAGCGCACAAGACGATTCAGGGAAGAGTCAAGTGCGCAAGAGGACTCAAGTAGGACGTCGTCGAGGGGCATGCGGGTTCCGCAGAGTGCGGAGTTATTTTTTTGGCAGAGTTCAGGCAAGAAGAGGATGCCCTGGAGCCAGCTATGGG